CCCCCCTTTCTCCTCTTCTCATATTCCTCTCAGGCCCGCATCCGCTCGCTTTGAATGCTCGGACAAGTCAATGGTTGCGAGTGATACAGCTGCCAGCCTTGCCGCGTCAGTGTTTCAGGACGCTGACCTTTTTTTTTTTTTTTTTTTTTCCCCTTCATTTTCCTTTTTTAAAAGAACAGCCCGAGTGGACGCTAGGGGTGCTGATAAGAGGAGGCACAAAGATAAACGTCAACCGCAGTTGTGTGTGCTGTGACGACGGGCATAAAAGATGAAAGTTGTGGTGGTGCTCCTTTCAAATTTTCAGGGGAAGATTCATTCTCATTTTGCACATTTGGTGAGTGGCGCGGCAAGGGCCAGGGCCCTACCGGCCCCTACAAGTCTTGTTGCTCTCACCTCGTCAAGCATGCGGGAGCCAAGGTACATTGGCCTTTCCACGTGGCGGTATCCCATTAGTCGCGGTATATTACAGATCCCATCGTTGGGATTTATTATCCGCCAGCTGTCCTTCACAGTCTGCCACACATGCATCCGGTCATTTCACGATCACGATTTAATGAAATCTGTGTTACTTACTGCCGCGCCCTCCCCCTCCCCTTCGTCTCGGGGAAAAAAAAAAAAAAAAAAAGGACAGTCCTTTGGGACATCCGTTAAAATTGGAATGGTACAGAGAAGATTAAGCATGGCCCCTGCACAACCGATGACACACAATAAACGAGAATGGTACCTTTTTCTTCTTTTTTTTTTTTTTTTTTTTTTAAGGTAGAGCGGGAGGACATCAACGGGCAACACTGAAGTAACGAATACAAAAAAAAAGAAAAGGAAAAAAAAAAAAACCAACAACAACACTGAAGTAACCAAACCACCACCGACGTCAGTTGGTACACTTATCAAGTGTTGAAATAAAGACCCAGGTTCGAATCCAGATGCAATCAGATGACGACCCGGGGTGAGGTCCCACTAGCAAAGACGGTTGGATAAATATCCTGAATCTGGACGTGTTTTAAGCAGAGATGCAGAAAAGCAGTTCAATCTCGACGTTCTGCACCTTTCCACAATCAAGTCCGGATTCAGTTGTTCAATCCAACCCTCTTTGCTACTGGGAGCTCGCCCAGAATACAAATAATTCTGAATTACCTGAGACAGTCAGCTCATTTTTTTAAAAGTAACCAGACCAATAAAAATCAGACGTCAAAAAAAAATAAAAATAAAAAAAAATAAAAAAAATCGGTCACCCCGTGGATGCACCATAGATATAACACTGAATCCAATGGACTAAGCACCCAAACAAATCTTTCATTGAAAAATCCGATCCATGGTTGACCTGTATTCATCGAAAAATCCGGGGCTAGGTCCCACTTGCACGGATTAAGAGATACTGACCGTAGATAGCAAAGATCAACGGTCGAAATCTCCTAATTTGCGCAAGTGGGACCTCGCCCCCGGTCTGAGACTCCGAGGCACTTTTCTTCGGGGCTGGAAACGCGCTGCTAGCCAAAAAAACATGAACCGCCGCAGGCTTCCTTTTGGCCAGTGCTGCCAGCCATTTTGCTCTGGCAGCCAAGCCGCGAAAGCCGCAGCTTTGAAAAAATCATAAAAATGGTTGGGAAACCCACTGGTGGTTTAAGAAAAAGAAAAGAAAAGGGAAGAAAAAAAAAAAACAGGTCCTTCTGGTCCTGGCTCCATAACGAGTCCATATTCATTCTGGCGAGCATCAGTCGGGTTCCCTTTCCACCAGCAAGTCAAGATTTTACAATACATATGCCCCCACGCTTCCTTCCATTTGGACCCCTGAAGGACCCCTGAAAGACCCCCCCTTAACAGCATTGATTTTAGTATTTTACTTCACAACAACAGGGGGATTAAACCACCAGTACCGACCGGTTGTTGCAGCTGTTAACGCGGTAGCCGAATCGGTCCGCAAATCGGGTCCACATTCATTCGACCTGAGGGGGTATGAAAAATGCGGTAGGTGCTGGTGGTTTCACTATCAGCTTGCCTTTGCCTTTTTCTTTTCCATCGCTCTCTGGCCTTGTCCTAAATCTGTCAGATCCAACTTAAAACCACCAATACCGCGCCCATACATCGGCCGCAGGCTCCTGGCGACGACTTTCGGAGGCCGGAATCGCGACAAAGGCCCTTGATGAAATTTATCACGGTGGGCCCGTCCCCGAAAGTTGTGCCCGTCAACAACAAGCCGCATCTCTGAAAAATAGGTGGGAAAGGTACCGGTGGTCTTAAACCATGAGAGTGGCATGACTACATTTCCCAGCCATTTCTGAAAGACGCGGCCGTGCACGCAGCCCTGTTGAAATTCGCTGTCTTTTTTTTCCCGATGCTAATTCACTTCTCTTACTACCGCTATGGTTTAAGATGGGATCCTGGTGAGACTCATTGTGGAGGGCTGTGGGGATAGAGGGTTGGTTTTGGGGATTGGAAGGGAGGGTGTCTGAGATAGAAGCTTCTGTGAGTTTTGGGGGATAGAATCGCCTGTGATTCCTAACAGGGGATAGGGTTTATTACGGTTTATTAGGGTTTAGGGTTTAGGGTACTAGTACTCTAGGCTGTGTCAGTCTCATGGTGGGACAATTCGACTGTGACGAGTGGAAGTAAGAAGAGTGAGAGGGTCGGGGACTGTATCCATTAATCCAGTAAGTGGGACCAATGGACCTCTCTTAATCTGTGGGGGGACTAACAGACCAACCCCACCCCACCCCACCCC